CTTCATTGGTACAAACCCAATCTCCTATTGGAATTTACATCCTCAAAGATCTGCTTTAAAACCTATTGACTCTTTGGCTTTTTATAAGTATTCTAGAAGGCTGCTTGAAGACATCACTGTCCTCACAAAATGCAATTCTATTTCTGGGTGGCTCTTAGTCATGTTTCGCATTGCTCAGTCACATCAACTTCTGGCACTGCCAGCCGTTTTAGGAGTATTAGAAATTCATTCCCAAACAACAGTGTATACAATCTTGCTGTCCAGCACTTTTCAACAACCTCGTTGAAAATTATCGTCTAATTACAGGTATTGGAAAATATAAATCAGAAAGACTTGGAAAGACCATTTATTCAATAACAGCATTATATCCAGTTTATACTGTTCATTTCTCTGCTTTAAAGACAATGGTTATCTAAGTGTAGGTCTACACAAGTAGTTTCAAATGTAATGATAGCATCTGTCCATTTTTGCACCAGCCACTTGAAACTGAATAAGTGCCATCGCTCTGTTTTGCCCCATGGATGAAATTCTGAAGAGATCTGCTCTTGAGCTATTAAAAAGCATTGGCTTTGAGAGCATAGAATCCAAAGCCTTAGAGTTGCTATTGGCAATACACAATGATAGAATCATGTCATATCTTCAGACTAATTCAAAGATTTCTGTACTTTCTTCAAGACCAAGTGTATCTTTATTGGATCTTTGTGGAATAAAGCAACAATTGCCAAGGATTGGAAACGAAATACCATTTACCAAGGACATGTTGGCTGAATGTAATGCCATGATTCCAAACTGTAGAAATAAATCAGTCCAATATCTTTTTACTCTTGTTCCCTCCAAAACATACGAGTTTCCCCGAGAGATTCTTGAGGAGGAGCATGAATGGATAAGCCCCCTAAGTGCAAGAGTGGAGAGGTTTATTCACATCTATGATTTTATGCCTAACTTTCCGCCAATCCATACGTTTAGAATGACATCTCTGAAAAGCTCGACTCTCAAAAACCAATCATCTAAGGTTAAGAATAGATTAGAGCAGAGCCTGAGAAGCGAGGGCAGTATGGTTAAGTTGATAAAGTCAAGCGGGTCGATGCCCAAATTTATCAACTATCTATACAAGGGTAAAGTGTGATTGACAAATATGCACATATGTAGTGTTAAGAAGTTAGCAATAAATATGCTTTCTAACAATTTATTTGTACTTTGGCATCAAATTTTTTGCTTCTAATGTTGAATTTCTTCTTCATGGTTCTGAAGCTTAACTGCAAGAATGGATGTTTGAACATGCTGGGTCAAAGTCTTTGACGATTTCTCTAGTCTTCTCAGCAGCCTATCGGTCTCTTTTAGAAGATCGCTGCATTCTTTGAGTGATTGTTCTAACATTGGGTTGAAAATTATAAATTGAGAAATAGATAAAAGATAAAGTAAAGGCATCTGAGTACTACAATACCTATATGAACGTTGTGCTGTTGACACATGTACATCAGATAACATACAGAATAGTGTCATGATGAAATACACGATTAAAATTATATTATAATTATTATTTAATATCAAGCATGATGACGATGACGTCTCGGAAGATCATGAATCTCAGACGGGTTGTCTCTGGTGTACTTTATTACTTTCTTAAAGTTGAGAAGTTGTCCATGGACAGTTGGTGACATTCCAATACATTTTTCAAAGAATCCACACAGGATGTTTTTATCTGCTAAGGTCAAGTATCCATTCGCATATGCATCCTTTGCACCTGTTATGGCCTCTATTATGGCAGATTTAATCAGAACCTTTGAATTGTCACTTCCCTCCCACATGATACCGATGACTCGTCCGCAATTACTGTTTTGAATTACGTTAATAAGATCAAATTTTGGGTTTTTATAAATGCACCCATAAATGTAAAGATGGAATCCAACCGTATTATTGAGCTTTGATGTCAGCGAAGAGAAGGCATTCTGTGTCCTTTCCACCACTGGCGGAGTTAGCTCACATGAAGGATCGTAGGCACCATTGGCACTGATTTGGTCGATTTCCTGCTTTTCAAAGACCAAGTTTACTTGGATATTAAAGTTTTCAAGGTCAGTATTCAGCTCCTCAATGATGGTTCCAAGGTACGATCTTATGGCTGTTACTGCTGCTTTTTCACCAGCCACGCCTTGAATTTCGTCAATTGTTAATCCACCAAGTTTAGAAGCAAGCGAAACTATGGCGTCTCGTACTTCATTTTGAATGTGTGGATGTATGTTGATTATGTATGTTTTATTAGAGTCTAGACACCCTCTTGTTTGGTTGTAAAGACTGATATTTTTTGCGCCAGTCGCTAGGCTCATAAAAGCTATAATAATCCAGAACAGCATACTAGGGACAGGTGAAATATTATAAAAACTTTATTTAAAACAAAGACATGAAACTTACAAATGATTGATGAAACAGAGAAAGTAATACTATGGACGTTCCATCATAGATGTACAAGGGATGATAGGGCAAAATCTATATAAACATTCGACATAGAAATGCACCACGAGATTTTAACAATCACCAAATCGTAACAAGTGAGAATGCTAAGTGGAAAGAAGAGTATGCTCAGAAAATGCTGGGCGCGCAATTGCTTAAAGTATATCTAAAGACTTAGCATACATTTTAATGTGTTATTGATATTTCCAAACATATGGCATTTGAAACATCCTTGCATATAAAACAATGATGTGGTTTCAGCATCTGATAGTATAAATTAGACAAAATATTCCGGGTCGGAAATTAGTCTTCTAAACAATAAAGTTGCTTTAGATAAAAATTCTGCCACAGGCCATCTTTATTCGCTTTTGTACAGCTTCTTAAAGGTGTTTTTGATATTGAAAACAGCAAGTTCATTTTTCTCATCAAGCTTAGAAATAAACTTGTCAATAACAACTCTAACTGGTATGTCTTTGTTTTTCAGCACATCTCTAGGTTTAGCATCTATGTCGTTTATGCCCTTCAGGTATAGATAGTATGAGATCTCCTTCTGCTTAACTCCTTCGAAAATATTAACAATATTGAGAGAATCGTACTGGTTCCTTGAACAGTAGCTAACAGCATCAAGTCCTTGGCCTTTGCAAAGCAACAATAGGGAGCCTGTGATCGCTTGATTCATACTCTCAGCATAAAGCAGAACATCATAGCTGTTCTCAAGACAGTACTGGATAACATCCGAGCTCTGTCTTTTTAAAGAATATTCGTTTTCGGGAGAGAATTCAGCATCCACAAATTGAATACTGGTTTTGAAAAGTAAGGAATTCCTACAGAAAATGCACAGTTTTTTGAATTTTCGACCACTCAGAGTCTTGTTCAAAAACTCAATGGCTACTAAAGAAGATGGCGAATCGCTTAAGTAAATCAAAATTGAGGAGTTACTATGCAACTTGTGAAGATTTCTTTGAACCTTCAGCTCAAAAAACGACAAGAAGCACTGGTTGCAATATTTTAGCACGTTAATTTTAACATCTGCTGCGCTTTTACATTTGGAGCAACCAGACATTGAAGAAGGATAAGAATAAAAGCTAAAATGATTGGAGCGGGATTCGAACCCGCGAGTGTCGCCACACTGGTCCCTTAAACCAGCGCCTTAGACCGCTCGGCCATCCAACCTCAGCCAAAAGGTTGAGCTAACCTATGATCGCGGCATTAATGCATACACTCGCCATACAACTTGGATACTTCTGCCCTGTCATGTGAATCCTGCAAGGTTTTCGTTTATTGCTTAAGGCTTACATCCAATGCAGTGTTAGAGTATAGCATTCTTCTTACAAACCCCATTCAAGCAGTCTTAGTATGCAGCTAAAGTTCATTTTATGCATGATTCTCAGTTTATAAGAGACAGCTCGAGCTTGGCCGTATTAAAGAACCCACCTTCGTCACACATCTGTATCCATAGTCCGCAACTTGCACCTGGCTTCCTCCATTCCATAAAGCAGTCTGGCTTATAATCGAGCCCGTTTGTTCTCTATTCCCTTCAATATTTTCCTCCAAAATTTTTGCAATGCTCCATGGAGGATACTGACCAGAATTATGAACTTATAAAGTTGTTTCTAAAGGAGAAAACACTTGTTAGACAGCATCTAGAGTCATTTAACTATTTCATAGACTATGATATAAGGTCTATAATGAATGCAAATAACATTGTAGACTCAGACATTGATCATACTTTTTACTTGAAATATTTGGATATCAGAGTGGGAGCGCCGTCAGTGACTGAAAATATGATAGAAACGCAAATATATCCGCTAGAATGTAGGAATAGAGACTTGACTTACTCGGCCAATATCTATGTGGATGTTGAGTATGTTAGAAATAAGCAGGTTGTCATAAAGAGAGACCTCTGTATGGGAAAGCTGCCAATAATGCTTAGAAGTAACCGATGCTTGCTCTCAGCTAAGAACAACGATATTATAGAGAGCGTCAGTACTGTAAATAAGCGTATTAAAGAATCTCAGGAGTGTTTTCTCGATAACGGAGGGTATTTCATCATTCAGGGAATTGAAAGAGTCATTCTGATCCAAGAGCAGCTGTCAAAGAACAGAATAATGCTGGAGGAAGGCACAAAAGGTGTCTATGCTTCTGTTACATCTTCGAGTATCGAGCACAAGAGCAAGACAAGCCTAATTGTTAAAGACGACTGTTTTTATATTCAAAGCACCAGTTTTAATGAGGATGTGCCAGCGGTCATCCTTATTAAAGCATTAGGAATTATTTCAGATGCCGAAATATGTGAAATTGTGGGGAAGGAACTGCTTGATATACTTCTGCCCAGCTTTGAAGAGGCAATTTCAAAGAAGATTTTCAGAGAAGAACAGGCAATTTTGTATTTATCAAAATTTGCCAAGATTAATCCAGAAAATGATAAGATTGATGAAGTTCGGACCGTACTTTCTGAAAGGATATTGCCAAATATTGAGTTCGACTATACACTTAGAAAAAAGGGTGTTTATGTGTGCCTGATGATACGAAAGCTGGCTATGAATAAAGCCGGGATAATAGGCCCTGACGACAAGGACTATATGGGAAACAAGAGATTTGAGCTTGCTGGGCAGCTGCTCGGCATTCTCTTTGAAGACTCTTTCAAAAAGTTTAATTATGAGCTTAAAAAGTCCATTGACAAAATTTTGAGCAAGAGAACAAGAACATCCGAATTTGATGCTTTGACATTTTTTAATCTTCAAACAAGCTCAATAACATCAAGTCTCACCAGGGCCATTTCGACAGGCAATTGGAACCTTAAAAGATTCAGAATGGAGAGAAGTGGTGTTTCCAGCATTATAACACGGTACTCATATGTTTGTGCGCTTGGAATGATGACAAAGATCAACAGCCATTTTGAAAAGACGCGCAAAGTTAGTGGCCCAAGATCGCTGCACACTTCTTCCTGGGGGATGCTATGCCCAGTCGATACTCCCGAGGGTGAGAGCTGTGGATTAGTTAAAAACTTGGCACTTTTGGCAGAAATTACAACAGATTCTGATCCAAAGATTATTGAAAAGGTCCTGATGGAATACGGCGTCAGGAAAATTGAAATCTGTTATGGAAAAGAGTTTTACCAGAAAAACAACCACCTCGTATTCATTAACGGTGGAATATTTGGAATAGTGTCTCAGCCTGGGATTTTAGTTAATCTGTTTAGAAAAAGAAGAAGATGCGGGAAGATTGATAAGTTCGTATCAATATACACCAATAGTGATGAGAAGAGTGTCTATGTTTCTACTGACAACGGTAGAATCTCTCGTCCTGTAATTATACTCGACCAGAGTAAAGCTTTAACTGCCAAAAGTTTGATTGAAAGACTTAAGAAGCATCGTGCTCGGGATAACTACACCGAAGTGCATGATCACGATGCAGAGAGCCAGCTTTTGATTCATTTGGGGATATACTTTGACAAAGAGAGCCTTAGGTACAAATCATTCTCGGACCTTATCAACGAGGGTAAAATAGAATACTTAGACATAAACGAAGAAAACAACTGTATGATTGCCTTCACAGCGAGTGAAATTAACGAGAACACTACACATCTTGAAATATCTGAGTTTGCAATTCTTGGCTACATTGCTGGACTTGTGCCGTTTCCCCATCACAACCAAAGCCCCAGGAATACGTATCAGTGTGCAATGGGCAAGCAGGCAATTGGACACATTGCAGCCAATGTTAAAAGAAGATTTGATTCTGCTATTTTGCAGCTTAACTATACTCAGAGGCCTATTGCATCTTCAAAGACACTTGATATTATTAAATACAACCAGATTCCCTCTGGCTTCAATGCAATGGTGGCTGTTATGAGCTATAGCGGATATGATATTGAGGATGCTGTTATACTAAATCAAGGATCTGTTGATAGAGGAATGGCCAGGGTTGAGGTGTACAAGACTAATACTATTGTGCTGAAAAAATACAGCAGCGGACAGTCGGACAAACTTGTTGGAGATGGTGTAATTTCTCCTGGAAAGTACGTAGTTGATGGGACGGTGTTGGTTAACAAGATTTCTCCAATAACGAATACTTTAACCTCATCAAAGCATAAGGGACATCCAGCACACATCGAAAAAGTAATGATTAGCAAAAGCGAAGACGAAAGTATTATAAAAGTAGTAACAAGAGAGACTAGAAGTCCTGAGGTTGGCGATAAGTTTAGTAGTCGGCATGGCCAGAAGGGCGTGGTTGGCCTGATAGTTCCACAGGTTGATATGCCGTTCAATGAACAAGGGTTAGCGCCCGACATAATCATGAACCCCCATGGATTTCCATCAAGAATGACGGTTGGGAAGATTATTGAATTACTTAGTGGAAAAGCGGCTATGATTGAAGGGAAATATGCGGATGCAACAGCATTTAAAAAGAATCAAATTAGAGACTTCTGTGATGTTTTGGCTAAAAGTGGATATAGCTATTCTGGAAAGGATATTTTTACGAGTGGAACGACAGGTGAACAGCTTGAGGCTTATATTTTCTATGGCCCTATTTTTTACCAGAGACTAAAGCATATGGTTGCCGATAAGATGCATTGTAGGGCACGTGGCCCAAGAGCTATTCTTACTCGTCAACCAACCGAGGGTAGATCCAACGATGGTGGCCTGCGTCTTGGAGAAATGGAAAGAGACTGCTTGATAGGTTATGGTACCTCTGCTCTGCTCAATGAGAGACTAATGGTTTCATCGGATATTTTCGAAGCGTTTATATGCAAAGACTGCGGTGTAGTAGGATATAAAGGACACTGCCCGATGTGTAAGAAGTCCAATCCAGTGCCTATAAAAATTCCATATGCCTGCAAACTCCTATTCCAGGAATTAATGTCTATGAATATTCTGCCAAAAGTTGAACTTGAGTAAGGGCCCATGCCTGAATCTCAACTTCTCTATTTGTCTATGGCTCGCTCAACTATATTCAGAAGGGACATGCCTCGTTTTTCCATAAGTGCACATTCCTTATGCTCTTGCTTTGAATGAAGGAGCGTGGCAGCAAATAAACATTGGTTATTTTGGACATATATTAGTCTTTCTTGAGTGTGAAAAAATTTATCATCTTGTCCATAAAATGGACTTGAATCTGGAAAATCTAAATCTCAACACTAAAAAAACCCTCAACATAGTGTTTGTCGGCCATGTAGACTCTGGAAAATCTACTATTTGCGGTAGGATACTTGTGGATCTCCAACTTGTAGACGAAAGGATTCTTGAGAAGTATAGGCAGCAGAGTGAAGAGTCAAATCGAGCCAGCTGGTATCTTTCATGGTGCATGGACTTGAATCCGGAGGAAAGAGAAAAGGGAAAGACAGTTGAGGTTGGAACGGCATCGTTTGAGCTTCCGCATACTAAGGTGAATGTGCTGGATGCACCTGGCCACAAGCAGTTTGTCAACGAAATGATCGAAGGTGCATCACGTGCAGACATAGGAATCTTGATAGTCTCGTCGAGGACTGGCGAGTTTGAGGCTGGATTTAAAGGAGGCCAAACGAAAGAGCATATGCTTCTTCTCAAGGCAGGAAATGTTGATAGGCTCATTGTTCTTGTTAATAAGATGGATGAATGCAGCTGGGATAGAGAAAGATACAATGAAATAGTTGGTAAGGTTGAAAAGTTTGGGAAAAATTTATTTAAAGACATGTATTTTATTCCTGTTAGTGGGTATAACGGAGATAACATTAAGACAAGAAAAGAGACAGATTTTTTCAAGGGACCCTCGTTCCTTGAATATCTGGATACTGTCAATGTACTAGATGTTGAGACAGAGCCCTGCTTGACTATTCTTGAGAAGGTGAAAACATCAGGCAATGTGTTTTTCTATGTAAAGATTGAGTCTGGTGCTTTCAACAAGAATGACGGCTACAGAGTTCTTCCACTTTGCAAAGACGATAAGATCACATCGATCATGAACGAAGATGACGTGGAGCTTGGTGAAGCAGTCAGAGGAGAGACATACAAAATGAAGTTTAAAGAACTGTCTGAGGATATCTTTGTGGGTACCAAAATAGTTTCTGTGTCCAATAAAAACTACCAGGTTTGCAATGAAATGTATGCGCAACTTGGAATCTGCGAAGTCAAAACGGCAATAACAAAAGGATACGCCTGTATTATGCACATTAATTTATTTACAGTTGGTGCAAAAATAACCGAACTGTATTCCTTAGACAAGAAAAAGATCAGAGTTGGGAGAAAAGGGGGAAAAAGTAGTTGCAAAAATAAGGCTTGATTCTCCAGTTGTTGTAATGTGCAATGAAAGGAAAAGGGATAGATTTTCGTTGCGAGATGAGAGTCTGACGGTTGCAGCGGGTATGGTTAAGAAGGTGGTAGAATAAATTGATAGAAAAGGATGACAAGTGTCGTTATTTGTATTTCTAATTACAAAACACATTTATACATCTGAACGATAAACTGGGCTTAACTGTTTTGATTATTTAATTAATACTATCATCATTACATTCATCTCCAAGCACATTCAGTTGGCTAACTTCCTCAACTTTCTTATCATTTACCAGCAATACCTTGTTAAATAGAGATATAAGCTCCAAGTTATGAATGATGGCTATAACTGTCAAGTTTTGCATTTTCAATACTGAGCTTAGTATCTTGTGCTCTGATTCCTTGTCCAGACTTGCAGTTGATTCGTCTAGCAGTAAAATCGAGGACTGTCGTAAAATTGCTCTCAGCAGCAATATCTTCTGCCTTTCCCCGCCACTAAGCAATTTACCTTGCTCGCCCACCAGGGTGTAGTATCCATTTTGAAGCTTTATGATTGACTCGTGTGTGCCAATTTCCTTGCTTGCTCTGAAGATTTCTTCATCAAAGAGTTTTCCGTTGGCGTATTTAATGTTTGCCATGACTGTATCGTCAAATAAAATAGCTGATTGCGGAATAAATGTTATTATGCTTTTGAGCGATGCATCGGTGAGATCTTTTAACCTAATATTGTCAACCATCAGTTCTCCTTCAAAGTCATTTAATTTTATCAGCGATTTTAGCAGCGTTGATTTTCCCGATCCATTTTTGCCAATAATTGCAACTTTGTCTCCCCTTTTAATGGAAAAGCTGGCATTCTCGATAATACAATTGATGCCCTTTTTAATAGTCAAATTACTGGCCACAATTTGATTGTTTAGTCTAAAGGCAGTTCTATACCCATCAGGCCTGCATTCTGCCATCTCTATGCCGTTGACCTTGGCATTGATTATTGCAGCCTTGTACTTTCCATACATAAATCCAAAATTATCCAGTGCCTTCATGATCAGTCCTGTGATATAGATTAAAAAGGTAAATTTTTCAATAGAAATTCGCTGAGACGATCCATAACAAGATACAAAGATAATACAGATGGACATTGCACACCAGACACCTCTCTGCGACAAATTTAGTAGATACATAGATCTGGCTATTTCTGTTGAATAATACTCGACATTCTTCAACGAACTGTTATATTTATGAAGCTCGCAATCAATGCTTTTATAGGAAAAGATAGTTTCAAAGTTGCAGAGACTATCCATCATTAGGTTTGATGTCTTATTCTGAGCAGCATTTAGCTTCTTTCTCATTTTATTTCTCCATTCTGTTATTTTTATTGTAAGCATCAGGTAAACCACCACGCTAATATTAATTATCATAACAACAAACCAGCCCATACCCCTGAAAACTTCATATGAGACGAACAAAATCGTTAAAAATGTGGGGAAAAAGTTAAGTGTGAACACATCGATCATGTCCTGCACTGCCTGGCTTCTTCTCAATACTGTATTTTGAATCTCGCCCAATCCAAAACCATTAAATCTTGCAGGATCAAGATCTAGAAAATACCCAAGAGTGTCTCTGTTGGCCAGCCGGTATCCAGCCTGTCCAACCCTGCATATGAAGAACGACTGTATCTCAACAAGCACGATGCTAACGACGTATACAAGAGAGTACATCAGTAGGGTCGAAAGGTGTGTTTCACCTGATTTAATCATTTTGGAAATATTTTCAGTTTGTCTGGCGCCTAACACTTCAGTGTACTTGGCTATGATCATTGTAAAGAAGACTGGCAGCATCAATTTTCTGTTAATTGGATTCTGTAGAATGTACTTTGTGAATATGACCCTGAGGATGTGATGATTTTTTTCTGGCTTTTGCATTACAAATAAACAGCGCATAGTTTTATTGCAATTTGTTTGATGTGCCAGAATTTTGATTTAAAACCCAAATCAACAAACAATCAAAGTGTTCTACTGCCTTTTCAATATCGCTGATTACTACCAACCATTCAGCATTATAGCAGCATGCCGTAAATGCATTTTATTGCGTCTGCCATTACACAAACTAGCATGTAATCGGGAGAATTGGGTTTCTACATCTCTCAGCGTCCAAACAGCCTTTCATATTGTTCGTTTTTACCCTACCAGCCAAGTGATACAACACAAACAACCATGCTGTCACTATACAGCTAGAACTGTACATTATGCTGGATAATTTTGCATTCCGTATAGTGTTAGTCTCTATTATCCAGACACTCAACTCTTTTGCCCCATCAAATTTTATCCTCATGCCATTTTCCCACAAAGACGAGCAAACCCCGGCGATTTCCACAGGCCCGAAAGGCAAATACACCTCACTTCTACAAACAGAAGGGTTTACGTTTCTGGGTCGAGAAGATGGCGACGTAGAGGTTTTTAATGACGTGTCAAAAGGAAGGACTAGGATTTTTGACAAAACCTTCGACCCTCTTGAAAATGAAGACATCGACAAACACGTAAATGCAATGGCTTATCTCAGCAGCGGGGGAGTGGCAGGTACATTATTTGCAGGTAACGATAGACACATAAAGACAATACAAGTAAGAAATGACACATCGACTCGGAACATTTGCAATGGAAACTATTCCGAAAATCTAAGATTTTCTCCCCAAAAAGTATGCCAAAATGTCCATACCTATGCCCTCAGTTCGATGAGTATCAATAGCAGTGGTGAATATTTGATAACATCAGACTACATAAAGGTAAATTTGTGGAATCCGCTAGCACTCAACAGCTTCTACAACATAGTTGACATTAAGTCACAGCTGTCCTGTGGCCTAGTCTTTGTAATTAATATTTCCAAATTTTCACCGTTTGCAGATAGCATTTTTGGGTACTCAACATCCAACGGAAGATTAATCATCAACGATACCTCAGTGACACCAAGAAGCGAATCAGTGGCAAGTCTATCCTTACAAAACATAGAAGGCATTAGGTCGATTTCAGACTTTTTATTTTTTGATGAAAATTTGATAGTAACAAGAACTATGAATAACGTATCAGTTTTTGATATGAGAAATCCCAAGCAGGAAATCTACAGCCGAAACTTAGTAACCGATCTTTCAGAGCTAAACATTCTCAACAGCGAAACAACAATCTATGAGAAGTTTGGAATGGTAAGCCACAGGGGGAGGGTTTATACAGGGTCCTATTTTGGATCGATATATTCCATCGACATTTCAAAAAATGAATGCGAGGAGGTGCAAATCAAGGACGAAAGAGAATGCGTTCCTGAAAACAAGATAAAATTGATTGTTTGGAATGGCAAAGAGTTGGTCTGTGTTATAGGCGATACGAAATTAGTAAAATACCAGATGGCTGAGAAGTAAAAGATACACGCTAACTTCATATTTAAAAGAAAGACAAGCATTGAACATTAAAGACGAAGGCACATGAGGTTTGTTAATAGAAATTCACCGGCAAAGCATATTGGGAGATATGCTGTATGCTTAAGTTATTATGCATTAAATAAAATAACAGCCGAACAAATACAATAAAGCTTATGCCAGTCTTATTTTATTTAACTAATATCCATTCTTAATGTATCAGTTTTTATTTTGTACTTTTTTTGCGGTTTGCAGATTCAGAAAATCTGAAAGTCTCTTTGAGCAATCCTCTCTTTCCCTTTTCAGTCTTTGTTTTACGAAGTAGTCATTTTCTTTCTCCAGTCTTTCTTCAATTTCCAGCTTTTTCTTTTTCAAATCCTCAATTGGGAACGAACTTGCACCACTAATCTTTTCCTGGAACAGCTCAATCAGACTTTTCTGTCCGTATATTGTCTCGTTCTTCCTTCCCAGCAGCTCCATCGCCTTTTTCAGCTCTGAGTTGAAAAAAAGTAGCTCTTGCTTTAGCTTGGTATTCTTTTCTGACATCTTATTAACAATTTGAGTCAAATTCAAGTTTTCATCTTGGAGTTTGTGCTGCGTCTGCTTTAAAGATTCAACCTGGGAGCTCAGATGTTTAACCTCGAACATATTTGCTTTTCTTTCGAACTGCTCTATAACTTCATCCTTCTTCATGGCCTCCTCTCTTAGATCGTCAATGAGCTTGCATTTGCTATAAACCAGGTTCCTTATCTCTTTTAAGATATCCTCCTCCAATAAAGATTCGAGAGCCCCTGCTACTCCATAGTCTTTATGTATCTTCACAAGCTGGTCTTTAATATTATTATTTTCAGCAGCTAACCCATCAATCTGGGCCTTATGGTCCCTGCTCTGTTGGCTAATCATGCTCCTCATTCTTTCATTTTCCTCCGCCTTTTTCAGAAACTTGCTTTCAATGTCGTTGTAGCAGCTTCTTAATAAAACTGCATTCTCCTTGATAGTTACCAGTTCCTGTCTGATATTTATCAGAAATCCAGGTAATGTATTGTAAAACAGTCCCCTCATACAGATAGGACATGTTCAGGCCTACGTCTCTCAGCTGTCGAAGTGTATCTAATGCACCCTTGGAATCATTCACAGTCAACAGCCCATGAGTCTTTTCTAGCACCATCCTCTCCATACTTCTGTCCTTAGAAAGGGAATCTATCTTCATGTTGAGTGTCCTAAACAAATCAATTATAGATTCCATGTACACATTTGGATTGTCTTCCTTCACTGTTGCATCTGCAGTATCAACAATCACAAAGGAGTTCATACTAAAGTCTCCATAGATGGTCTTGGATGGTGAGCTGAGGTGCATTGGTGTTTCTACAAGAGAGGGCGAAGATATCTTAATGTCGTTCTGTGCTAGATCTTCTAATTCGTCGTCTGACATGGGGATGAGTTTTTTCAGAGCCTCTTTATTGTCCATACAGAAATACAAATGGAAAAATATAAATGAAATGGCATAAACACCGTACATAAATATTGATGCAAAGCTATATTTAAGCTGAAAGTGATTTAGTTTGTATTATTCAAGCAAGCTTTCATCATCAAACAACTCCCAAGCTTCAACGCGCCAGGCAAATGGGGGATAGTGCAGATGGATGTTTAGCAATATTAAGTCGAGGATTGGCATATCTAGAAGATTGTTCCTCATTTACATTCGGTTAGTGTTGTCCTATTCACACTTCTTTAGAATGTGCCGTACAGTCCATTACATGCAAATTTGATGGCGCATCAACTGATATACAAGTGCTACTGGTCCTGTACATCAAATCAGTAGTGATCTTGCCTGTTGGTAAAATTGTTAATCTGATTCAAGGCAAATACTCATATGCTGCTTGCTTTAATACCAATTACAACGTCTGCTAGCTTTATTTTGCTTTTGTGGCTGGCTGTTCTGATCAATTCCGCCGACATCTTCTTATCTGTACTTCCACGTGTCTTCTGCCATCGTCCCAAACAATGTTAGCAAGATGTCATGGCTCAGATAAAAAACAGTGCTTTATTCTAAGTTCCTGGCTCCGCCAATCCCATTATGTTTGCTCTCAAACATATGTCAAAGTTTAACCCATGGCTCATTATGGAGCAAATAATAAAAATGTTTATTTATAAATCAATGTAACTTTGCTGTTATATTTACCTGTTTTATTACAGCGTTATCTTTCTTTGTGTTTTATTTTTTGTTTCAAAATGAAAATAAAAATACTTGCCGGACAAACACCATGTATCAGCCAACAATACGTGAATTTGCTTCTCTCTTTAAGAAAGTATTCACTGAGATAATCCTGAAGTATAGGTATGTTACGGCCACTGCTGTTGTATTTTCCATACTAGCGTTTATTTCAACGTATTTTTTCACAAAAATAGCTGAAGCTTCTTCGATATTGCTCGACAAGTCTAGCACCATCCCTTTTGAAACTAGGCTGGCAAGTTTAACGAAAACAACGCTAATTGCTGTGTCTTTGAGGTATATCCCAGTTGCTATCTTCACATTTCTCGTCCAGCTAATTTCCAGAGACAAGTTCGTTGAGGATCTTGAAAGATATATGAACCTTAAATACACAAAATTTCACAGGAAAACACCGGGAGAGATTAGATTCACAATATTCCTTAGATCCCTTTCATATCCTATCTGTGCGCAAATAGTAATATTCGATTTTGTGACAATCATCGGGACAACACTTTTTACATTCATAAAAGCATACAACGACATCAATTTCTATGCTGCATGCATATTCCCTTTATTTCCTGTTTTATACGGCATTGCCACTCTGATTTTTCTTAAGTACAGACTGATGTACAACACCCGTAATTTGGAGGAGCAGGAAAAAACATCGGCACGTATCTACGACAAGCTCTCAAACTATGATGTTATTAAAACATATAACCTCGAAGCAGAGGAAATTTTATCTTTCCGAAAAAGTCTAAAAGATCAAGCTGATTGCCAACTACAGTCCGATATATTCTTTGCAAAGGGAAAGTATGTTATCCGGTTCATAACAATGCTTCCGTATGTTATACTTGGGCTTTTTTCATTCATTTCTCCTAGTACAATGAATGGAAAGATTCTTTTCCAGGCCATTCTTCTTTTCTCGTCGTTATCACTGCAAATTAAAAAAATGGGCATTCAAATTTCAAGACTAGCCAATTTGTTAAATCAAATACGATTTGATAGCATCGAGGAAGATCCTCCAAAGATCACCAGCAGGCAGAAGTCAACATTTAAAAGCACGATCAGGTTTGTTGGGGTTAATTTATATCACGGCGAGACCTGTATCGTGGAGGATATCAATATAACCATAAGAAAAGGAGAACGGATAGCAGTTGTGGGAAATAATGGCACTGGAAAAAGCACATTCATTAAATCCATTCTTGGATTTACGGAATATACCGGGGATATTCTGATTGATGATATTAGCCTGAAAGATCTTCCCAATAGATCGATTTTCAGTCTTATTTCATATATCCCCCAAGATGATTTTACATCAGATGACACAGTGCTGAATAATTTGAAATTGGGAAACAAGGCTGCAAGCAGGGAGCATATTGAAAGTAAAGCAAGACTATTTGAGGCGCATGATGCCTTTGTTGGTCTTGATAATGGATATGATACTGAAGCAGGAATAAAAGGTAACAGATTGAGTGGCGGGCAGAAACAAAAGATCTCAATAGTTAGGGCGGCAGTGAAGGATGCCCCAATATTTATATTTGATGAGGCAACTGCTGCAATAGATAAAGGATACGAAAAGACGGTTATGGAAATACTTCTAAGCAAGATGAAAGAAAAGACCGTTTTAATGATTATTCATCAAAAAGATTATCTTGAAAGCTTCGATAAGATTATATTTCTGACCGACGGAAGGGTTGAAGCCTGTGAAGAATACCACAGCTTGATTGCAAGTAACGAGAAGTTTAAAGAGTTTATTGGAGCTACAGCTAAGGAGTAAGCCATAGTCGTCAAAAGGCGGCTCTTGATTAAATAGAACTTTATTAAAGATACTCTTTATACTTCAATGTAAGCATGCTTTGCATGGGAAGACTGCCAAGTAGATCTGAAATAGGCCACAACGGTTAGTTCGTTGATAGAGTAAAAGAAGGATCCCAACGAAATGTATCCTAAGAGAAAATTTGTCTTTTGTATAAATTTAATATCGAGAACATTTGACAGATAGCTTGCAGCTCAGCTACTCTTCAACTTGTTTGGACTGTAGTTACTCACATTCTCAATTTGGCTGAATATGCCCTCAACATCAATGTCTCTTTTGTCCCCAAAGAATTTCCTAACCTCGTTGTGGTCTTGGGTTTTCACAATGTAGTTCAATTTAGGATCTTTTGTAAAGAGTGCTGGCACAAACTTCTTATCTTCACTCTCAAACTCGTCTTCGTTAGAGTAAAATGGAATCACTAGTTTTGGAACATACTTCTTGGTATCTGCAACAAATATTTGTGCATCAATACTTCTTTTATAAAGAAAATGAGCATCAATCTTTTCATTTTCCATCTTTACCTGCTGCTTTCGTGACGCTTGCTTCGTAAAAACCTGGTACTGAAGCTCCTTTGATGGCTGCTTGGAGGGGTCTACTAGCTGAGATTGAGATATCCTGTCGTCATAGTTCTTCATTGCCATTTTAAATTTGCTTTTAATCTCATCTCTTCCATTATATACAATCGTGTCCTTCTTCTGGATTTCCATTCTCTTGCCATCAGGTAGCTTAATCTCAACATCTTTTTGCCTTGAAGCTTCAAGGGCACGCTTTGTCGTTGACTCGAGCATTGTCTGGCTTGTTTTTTCTTGCTCTTCTCTCAGTAATTTTCTTTCGTTTTCCATGTGAATACTCTGATCAACAAACTGCTTTTCAAGCAGCGCCTTTTCCTCCATAATCTTCCTTATTTCCTCAGCCTTTTCCATCTGCAATCTCTTTATTTCTTCTTGAATCTTTGCCATTTCCAACCGTCTCATCTCTTCCAGCTTTTTTCTTTCCTCAGAGATCATCGTCTTTTCAGCCTCAAGCCTTATGGTCTTCCGTCTGTACTCGTCTTCAAGAAACTTCCGCTCATTATGCATTTTCTCAAGATGGATCTTCTCCCGCTCAGCTTGCAGATTCCTCTTATCTTCTTTAATTCTCTCAAACTCCTTAGAGATAGTCTCCTTAAGCAGCTTTAAGTCGCTCAACTCCTTTTCAATTTTTTGAGAAATCTCTAAATTTTCGTTTTTCATTTTCTCGATATTTTTTCTTTCTTGCTCTATCTTGCTGGTTTCACTTGCTTCGGCCTTCCTGAGTCTAAGTTTTAACTCTTCAATTTCCTTTTCATATTTATTGCCAAAGTTCTTGTTTTTCAAGAGATCATAGTACAGAACAAGGAAGCTTCCAACCGCATCCGTCCTTCTTCTCTTAAAGCAATCTTCTTCGCCGCCAATGACTTCAAGCTTTCTTTTTATAATCATCCTGCCTGTTCTTCTTCTGGCCTTTCGTCGGAACTCACTGTTAATAAAACTTTGATTGATAGAGCTGTTGAGGTAATTAGATGGATTCTCCAACATTGAAAAATTGTCCAGCTGTGCCTGTTTAGTACCTTTTTGATCGGCATAGTTAATATTGTCCGTACCAACTGACTGCTGAAGACCATAATTAGTCATATTCAGGCTGGCAGTCTGAAAAATAGAGTAAGAATTTCTTATATCAGTTGTTTGTGCATCAGTTTGTATGGTGATAAGAGGCGCAGCCCTACTTTCCACATTAATGCCATTTTCATTTTCAATTGCGAGTGAAGTGTCCGGCTTTGAAAACTTGGTGTAGTCAAAATTTTCAAATTCATTTGCATTTTCGGCAGATGTGCTGCCATCTGCAGTAAAGCTTATTGACCTATCTACACCTTGCACATTTGTACTTATAATGTTCTCTTTGTTCTCCTCTTTACACTCTTTGTTTTCTTCGGTATTTTTTATTGTGTCAGAAGGACTTTGTGGGGTTGTGGAACTTACAATATTCTGTGGCATCTGCATGCTCTTAACAATCTGCTGATACTCGGTCCTGTAGCTATCCAATATCTCATTCAACTTGACTGAGTACTCTGATAGCATTCTTTTTTTGAACTCCATTGAGGTTGGATAAAATTTCAAAATAAAAGGTAGTAGCGAAGGAAATGAAACTAAAATTCGTAGAAGAGACTATCAGGTTATGCACGCAGGTGTAATTTATAGAACAGCAAAATTTATTGTCCATTTGAATATAAGAGCACTAGCAGTTTAGCCACAGCTGCTGCCTTTGATCCGATACATTTCCTGCTTGGCGGATCCAAAATGCAGGCTTGTACGGCAATTCTAGTTCCGCCAGAAAGTAGAGCTTAATAAAAGACGCGGCCATAGATTCCATTACGATCTTGTTATCTGGAGTGCAGTATTTGCAGCTTTATGCTACTATGCTTTTAGGTACCTTCCTTCTGTCTTTGTCTATTGGCTTGGCAGATTACCCAATCTTTACACCACCTTTTCTGCTATATTGATCTTTGCAATACTGGAAAGTGTCCTGTATTTTGGACTAGTATTTCTTCAGGTATGGCCATGATGCATCTAATCCATTCACATAAGCTCTGTGTAAATTTAATTCGTGTGAAGCATGTACACTTCTAATTGAATCGCTATGCCACTCTTTAGGCGCTTGACAAGCCACACTGAAGCTAGAATTGTCCGCTGTTGAATTTGGTGATGTAAAGTAAATCGGTCACGCACTTGAATAGTAACTAATTCTTTGGTGCTTTGGCAGTGTCTACATTATCCATCGAGAAGTTGGATGGAAGTAGATCACTTACTTTGTGTTAAATTTTTTGTAAAATTTTATTTGTTTTGAAATTACAGCATTTATGAACGAACCTAAGATGTAGAGCTGAAGCCTCAATGATCCTGCAATTATACAACATAGCAAATCACAGGCATTGCATATATAGCATACATCTCTCTTGAATTAAAATACTGCCTTTTTCGTCCCCCACATGGGATTGTCCTATAGCTCGGGAATTCCGAATATAAAGAAAGATAGAATCCTCGCATTCATAGAAAAGGACATATTCGTGCTGAACAACTACGAAACGGTTCCCTTTAAGAACAAGAACCATGCAATAGAGTGTCTAATTCCTTACCATATTTTCCACTTGACAGCCGATGATATAAAGTTCAGAGGATCAGATGTTGAAATAGATATCAGAACGGAAATAGATGTGATGAAAACAAAGATTAGCAATATGATCAAGGAACACACATTTGATGATGAAGGATTTACGCCGCAGCTTCTACTTTATCACGAGCAGAGAATCCTGAATTCAATAGCCCAGCAGGCCAAGGCAGCTCAGCCATCTAAGAGAAAGAAGTATGCGGCCGACAAGAGGTTTCTCAAAGTTAGAATTCCCAGAACTGATCTTTATCGCGTGCATGGGGATTTTCCAAAATTAAGGATTAAAATAGACAAAGACTGAATAAATAGCTAGAATTTTACTTGTTGGCTTTAGTCTGTAAATTCCATATCCTATCAGATTGTTACTTATATTGTAAACAGTAAGTAAATTAATAAAGTAAATACTGGTGGCTGTAGTTGACCTGTTCGTGATTCTATCCGAAGGCATCTATTTATTACCTAAGTGTTTTATATATGAAAATAAGATAAGTAAAAGAGTATAGGAATATTAATGCGTTTATTCAGTATAGAACTGTTTAAATGCTTGGTAAAACGGAGTATCCTTGAGCAGCTTTGCACAAAGCTCGTAGTCCTTGTTCTTATAGCCAGCCAGAAAGGCCAAGTTGTTTCTACCATTTTCTTTGGCTTTTTTGGCCACATATCCAAGATACTTTTTATCACCAAAAGCATCCGTCAAGAGTAGACTGTCAAGATCGTTGGACTTCAAAAAGCACTCGGAGGCTCTATTAAACTCGCCAAGACTTAGAAACCTTCTTCCCAATTTTTCATATTTTATTAGCGAGTTGGCATTTTTCAGGGCATCTTCAAGTCTATTCAGCTTAAGCAAAATCTCGAATCGTTGATTTTCATCAGTACACAGCAGAAGGGCCCTTTCGTACAGTTCCAAAGATTCAAAGAAGGATATTGCTTTATCTCTAAAGCTTTCCATCGGCTCAGGATTCAGTCCGTTGAAAAAGTCCCGTTTAAAGCTGATGAAGTCCATGTCAATGAAGTCTGTCTTGATGCCATTAGAGTATAAAATATGGTCTTGTCCTTAATACCTATAATTTGGCCATAATGCTTCAGGTGCGACAGATGCACCTTGTCGCCATCAAGTATGAGATAAAACGTCATATTTACAGTGCTGAAGATTAGTATGCCATCGTGGTCTATAAAGTTCTCGACCCTGTGCTCCAAAACACCAACTTCCTCAAGCTTAGCATTAAAAATATGAATTTGATCGCCAAAAAGTATAAAATGCTCATTAACAATGATAGCTTTCTGAACAGTAATGTCAAATTCATGCACAAGTGTAATGCGGCTGTCAATAGAATACAGTGCAGTCTTCTTAGCATTGGCAATCATCTTTTTAGTATTTGAATATAAAAGTCTGTTAATATCCAAATGCATCTTGGTCTCAACTTCGTTTCTTGATACAAACACAACATCCGAATCTTTAAGATATACAAATCTATCTGTATCGATAAAGCATAGATCCCTTCCGCTATCCGAGTATTTCTTTCTCATTCCCAATACCGAATACACATTAATTTCCAGATTTCCCACAACAGCTATCAATTTGCCGTTTGGACTTGACACAAAATACTCAAATGGCCCATCAAGTGTGCCCAATTCTTTATAGGCACCAAGCTCATCAACCTTAACACTGAAAACCTCGCTTCCAATATTGTAGAATATCTTATTTTCCCGTAGAGCTGCAGTCGGCGAAGAACTCAACTCCTGGAACACACTCAACTCCTCATCAGATCCTACAAATATTTTGCCCTCTTTGACATACAGATCCCACACTCTTCCCTGCATGTTCAAAATATCAACAGTTTTAAATTCATTATTCCAGAATCTGACGGTGCTGTCCTCAGAGCACGAAGCAAATCCACTCTTGAGTGGCTTTACCGTGTTTACGTTCTTTGTATGACCCCTCAGCACTGCAACTGGCAGCGGCCTTCTTACATCCCATACCATAACAGTACAGTCATCAGATCCTGTAACAAAAGTCTCTGGATTGATAAAGCAGACGGAGTTAACTCCTTTTTCATGTCCCTTAAATACCTTTAGCAGCTTATTGCTTGCTACTGAATACATTCTTATCTTTCCATCCAACGAAGCTGTAAAGAAGTGGCTACTGTCACTGGGGTAAAGACAGGCATCCATCACAAAGTGCTTAGAGTCTTTATACTTGTTAATCATCACTATTCCGTCGGCAAGCTCCATAGTTTTGTTCGGTTGTCATCAGAAACAGTGATTATTCTTTGGTTGCACTCATCTACAACTATTTTTCTTATAAAGTCATCGTGCGCCTTTACTGTCTCAATAACTGATAGATTTCCCAGATCTACAACAAGAATGCAGCCCTCGTCATTTCCAACCAATATGCAATCTTTAGACGGTACAATCACGGCCGTGCGAATGGGTACTTCACATATCTGAGCAGACTTTTTGATGTTAAATGTTTTTGGGTCATACAGCCTTATTTCCCCCGTAAAGAGACAGACTAGAATATCTGGGTAGTTTGGATGGCTTGTAACACACTTCACCCTTGGTGTTCTTGTTTTAAATATTGCCTTTGTTTGTACTTCCATGCCCTGCTCTTCAAGAAAATATTTTCTTACAAAAGCAGCAGTGATAAATGCATGTGGAATATTGAGAGGATGCGTGCCCGAAATTAGGTTCTACGGCACCATTTTGAGCTACGGCTGAAGGCTCATGAAAAGCACTGTAGAAAGTGGGCAATGCTTTTTGAATAGCAGAAGTATGAAGGAATTTGGGTGGTTTGTACAAACGGCATTGCGGTAGCTGCATTTTTCAATATAAGTTCATGAATCCTCATTAAATCTAATAATAGCAATAAAATGGTTCCTTTGTATTTAGTTTTATTTATTCTGAATTCAAAAGATGCTCTGCTTTGCTATTTAGCTCTTCCATATTTTCCAACTCCAACAATATTTCTTCTTTGTTCATGTCCTTCAGTTTCTCGTACAATGAAAATGCCAGTTCTTTCAATTCCGTAAAAACACTCATAGCCTTCATAACCTCGTCCTTAGTAGCCAGTCTACTATGCTTCTTCGATAAGTCAACGATAGACTTGAGAATATTACAGAACTCGGCATAAGTGTTTAGCTGGTCATTTACTTGCAGCGCCTCCTTAAATTTTTCTGTTTGCAGCACCATGCACTCTTTGAGGAGCCCTAAACTTTATGTGTCTAATAACTTAAGCAACCAGTAGTTGATGATGATACTATCTATGATATGAAAAAGAACAACATGCATGGTGTTTGGGCATAAAATTACTCTCGTGCGGAAATAGCAAACACTATTCAAATGCACTTAATTTTTAATATTTACCTTATGAAATTGCTATTACCTGAACATCGATTAATAATAATCCCTTCTATGATCATGTTCCACATTAATGGTTGATGAGGTGCAGCCACGTGCCCATTCATACATCCCCTTTTTTGTTTTTAACAAATTATATACTACCCCTAAATGGATGCTGTACATAGGATTGAGCTTGGACCATCACTTGATGCCATAAATAACCCACTGCACACCCGGCCACAACGTGCCTGTCCAGAAATTTCTGCTGTTGCATGCCATATCATCCCAGACGTTGCAATTTTGGATCAAAAATTAAATTTACTAGATTTGGATATTGTAAGAACCCATTTGCTGAACGAAGGACGCCTCTCAATCAAACAGATCGAGAAAATACTAAATGACAGTGACACAGTGCTAAGGAGCGAACCTAACTTATTAGAGATCGGCACCAAGTGCTATATTTTTGGGGACATTCATGGACAATTCTATGATCTAATATCTCTTCTAAATTCATTTGATCTAAAGACCCAAACCCTCTTGTTTCTGGGAGATTATGTTGACAGGGGGCAGTTCAGCGTCGAAACATATCTTTACCTGATGCTGCTCAAATCTCATTATCCCCAAAACATATATATTTTGAGGGGAAACCATGAGAGTGAGAAAATGACGTCGTATTTCACATTTAAATCAGAATGTCTGTCTAAGTATAATATTTCAATATATAACAGATTTGTAAAATCATTTAAGGCTCTACCAATTGCTGCTGTCGTTCAAAATATAGCCTTTTGTGCGCATGGGGGGATATCTCCACACATGAAAAAGATTTCTGAAATCAACACCATTGACAGGTTCAAGGAAATTGTATATAATGGATTGTTTTGTGATGTGTTCTGGTCCGATCCACACGAATACTATGATCTAGGGGATGGGAATGCCCTGGGAGTACAATGACAGAAGACGTTGTTCAGTTAAATTTACATATGAAAACGTCAAACGATTTCTGGACAATAATAATTTATCGATGGTTATCAGGGCACACGAGGTGCAGGAAAACGGATACAGACTTATGAAAAGCTACAAGGGGTATCCCAGTGTTGTTACAGTGTTTAGTGCACCATCGTACTGCGATGCATACCAAAATGATGGGGCATATATTGAGTTTGATATGGGAATAGTCGCAATCAACAGTTATAAGGCCGTGGGTCATCCGTTTGTTATTAATGGATTTTTCGACGCAGTGAATTGGAGCTTGCCGTTTGTTTCTGAGAAGTTAGTAGAGTTTACCTTATCCATATTTGCCGAACTGGATAAGAAGGATACTCTGGACATGACAGATGTACTTGTGTCTGGAATGGTGCTGATGAGAACAGAAAGGGAGGCTATAGACGAGTTTGAGAAGGATGAATCTCTGGAGTGTGGGCTGTTGTCAACGATAGAGGACGACATGGAGTTCAATGAGGCTAAGGAAAAGGATGCCGAAAACGAAATGATGAAAAATAAAGAGGAACCATCAGAAATTACAGTTGAGGTGTCGCCCTCGATGCAGAATGAAAGCCTTGGAGATGTTTCTAAAGAGATAAGTAAGTTAGATGCAAAAAGAACTGAAGAAGTAGTGAACAAGATTGAGGTTGTTGAAGAGTCTGACAGGGAGAGAATAAGAGTGAAAAAGAAAAAGAGCACGTCCAGCGGCATGTGTAGACTTCTATGTGGAAAATAGCCAATAATTCAAACCAACATTTGCATGTATAATGGCTTGTCTATTTATCAATGGGAAACTAAGTGGCTGGTTTGCCAGAATATAAAAATAAATTACTCAATTCAAGTACATTAACTAATCCCTATTTAGTGATGCTTGTTTTAAGCCTTTATTGCAAATACCTAAACATCCCTGAAGAAATTTTTTAAAATTGAGTTAAAAGTAGTCAAGTGAGCTTTTATTCAGCAGTAAACACCGGTTTCCAATTTCCAGGCAGTACACTCGTCTCCTTATAATATCTAACCAGCCTGTGAACTCTTGAATTGATCAAGTTGAGCCTGTATTTAGCATCGTTATCCTTCCTGTGGCTAAGAAGATGAAGTCTGATAACATTTGACTTTCTGATAAGCGAGTTGAGATCCTCTGGAATAATGGGGGCACAGTTGTTCTCCTTACAAAACTCCAAAATAGTCTTTCCAAGAATGTCCTTTGCATTTCCTACTCCGTACTGGTCTCTCAGAAGATTCCCAATGGCAGAAGGTACCATTCCCTTGTTGGCATGCTGGATGATATCCTTTTTGATTTCGTAGATTGGCTTGGTCATAAAAGTAGGCACTGTGGTAGATAGCGGCTTCATAGAGATAGACTGGCCTTTGCCAGCGGTGTGCATTCTTGCCATTCAGGGGTGAAAATTTTGCAAAAAATTTGAAAGTAAAGGAGGCGAATGTGAAAATAATATAGAAACATTGACCAGCACAGGACAACGAACAGTACCATAGTATGAGGATTGTAAGTGTGCTTTAACAAATGTGTGGTAAATTAAGAGTAGTAAGAAGCGTGTACAAATTTAATCTAGCATAAAAGTAATTGCAAGCAAATATTGTCTACCAAAGACTATGCTCTATCGTTGCCACGCCAACAAGTGGTTTTACAGGCATTTTTGTATATTGAAAAATAAAATATAGCCCTCATGTACGAAAACTTGATAGCATTTCTACTGGGAAGAAAGACGGAGCTGACCGAGGAAGATCTAAACGATTTTATGGAGCTGCTTGTAAAGGCCTTGAATGTTGAGGAGGAGTACGAGACACTTGAGAAGCAGACAGTGATTGAGAATATTGTTGATTCTGTAGCAATCAAAGACCAAAATGAGAGGAAAATAATCTCGAGTGCAATTGAGAATATTCTTGAGCTTGAGGAAGAGTCTACTGACACTGAGGAGAGTGAGGACATCTTCGCTGACAAAAGCGAGGATGCTGTTCCATTAAAGATGAGAAAGATGAAAAGAGGGGACTTTGGAAGAGCAAAGACAGAAAAAGACAAAAGAAAATCCAAGAAAGAAGCGAAGGCCAACGATGGGAATAAAATGGAAGCTGAGGCTGATAAAAACAATGGGAGCATTGTAGTAGATAAAAAAATAGAAGAGAATCAGAAGAAGGCAAAGGTAAATGAAGAAAAGGAAATCAAGCCTAGCCAAATATTTGTGAAAGATAACATTGCAAATGCGACTTTGAACTATCCACAGTTTGACTTTGAAATTGGCGAGCTTGAAGAAAATCATCAATCAGGACCTGAGTTTTCGTTCAGGCTGGATGAATAATATGACGGGCAATGCTTGTATTCAACAACAAGAATATACTGTTGAAAGTAGAGCCAGTGGTATTTGCCAGTCACGTGCTGTTTACAGTTTACCTCTAACATTTAACGACATTGCCAGTGCAGATCAATAAAAATATTTGATGTTTTCAACATCCAAGTTTTAACAGTCTGGACTGCTTGCCATAATACTTAATAAATATTGTCAAAAATATAATCCCAGTCACAATTTTGTGTTTATACTTAGTTAACTCATGGTGAGTGAATGTGGTAGCATAGTGCTGCATTTAAGATATGAATAATCACTTTTCCGGTCAGCCGTTGTGCTGTTCACCACACCATGCTTATTTGTTTATCTGTCATAAAATTGTCGGGTTTATTTATTTGAGTGTCCTTATTGTCTACAAAATTTTCAATAAAAATTTAAAAAATAACCACCCCAAATGCATCGCGGAGATTCTTCGAGAGAGAGCTTCAGAGATGGAGGTCGGCCAAGAAGAGATTCCTGGAATAATAGGAGACGCACAAGTTCTGGCAGACCATTCGGTGGTGATAACGAAACCGCCATGAATCCAAGTGAGGAACCAGTTTCGTTTGAGAAAAACTTCTATTTTCCGACAGAGACGTTGAGTGAGAAAGAGGCAAGGGAGCTTAGAGAATCTAATAGAATGAGACTTGTGGGAAATGACATTCCGCTACCTATACGGAGCTTTTCTTCAGTGAGTTTTCCAGAAGAAGTATTAAGGCATTTTGAAGCAAAAGGATATGCCAATCCCACGCCCATTCAAGCACAGGGATGGCCCATGGCCCTTAGCGGGAGAGATATGGTTGGTATTGCAGATACTGGTTCTGGCAAGACGATTTCCTTTGTGCTTCCAGCACTAATACATGCCCAGAGCCAGCCGCCACTGAGAGAAGATGACGGCCCCATCGTATTGATTCTAGCACCAACTAGAGAATTGTGCACCCAAATAGAGACAGTAGTCAGGGAATACACTCCATACTATAATTTGAGAAGTTGTGCGGTTTACGGCGGAGCATCCATAGTTCCACAGAAACGGGCTTTGAAGAGAGGAATAGAGGTATTGGTTGCTACTCCAGGACGATTAATTGATTTGCACAAGCAGGGGTTCTGCCCACTTGGCAGAGTTACATTTCTGGTTCTTGATGAGGCAGACAGAATGCTTGATATGGGATTTGAGCCGCAGCTCAATGCTATTATTCCACAAACTAACGAGAATAGACAGAATCTCATGTGGAGTGCTACTTGGCCGAGGGAAGTGAGAGCCCTTGCTGCAAACTACATGAAAGACTACATTCAAGTCACTATTGGAGATGAAGACTTGAAAGCTAACGTCAAGATAGTCCAGAAGGTCGATATAGTAGATTGGCAGGATAAAAAGAAGAAGCTTCTGTACTATCTACAGGACTTTAAGACAAGCAGAGTTATAGTGTTTTGCAATATGAAAAAAACCTGCGACACTTTGGAAGATTATCTGCTTGATAATAGATTTCACGTGGCAGCACTGCATGGTGATAAGTCCCAAGCGGCCAGAGATACAGTAATCCAAAATTTCAAGTCAGGAAGAATATCTATACTTATAGCCACTGATGTGGCAGCCAGAGGATTAGACGTAGAGAATGTGAAGTGCGTTATAAACTACGATTTTCCAAAGAACATTGAAGACTATGTTCACAGAATAGGAAGGACAGCCAGAGGATCCTCTTCGGAGGGGCTGGCGTATACGATGTTTACGGGTGAAGACGCGCCCAATGCAAGAAAGTTGATTGATATAATCAGGCAGGCGAACCAGACAGTGCCAACAGACCTTGAGAGCATGGTGAGGAGCTCACGCGGACGTGTCCTGCAGAGCAACTACAGAAGCAGTAGTCGTTCCCAGCACGGGTCGGATCGCAGAGGCTCATTTGCAGGTGGATATGGCGAACGGCCAAGACGATCGTTTTATTAAAGAAGTACGATAAATTTGTTTACAGCTCACGAGAATAGAGATTAAATTGATAGATTTAATTTTTAAAGGCTTGTGTGATTATGTGTTTTCCATACGGTACAAATTGGTTATATTGATAGTTTGCTCAGCTCTCTGAACCAAATGGTCACAATGCAGATAATATGATGTGGATGTCGACAAGACAAGCAAGCGTTAGTGTTCTAATGGTATGATTTTAGCCTTCCAAGCTGACGGCCCGGGTTCGATTCCCGGCTAACGCATCGCATAATGTCTTTTGTCAAATTGTTTATTAATGACACCATTTATTTATTACGGCATTTTAGTTGAGATATTTAACCATATAAGGCCCCTCAAGCATATAGCCTAGTTTTGCATAGTACTTTCTAGTTCCAACACCCGAAATAATGGCCATTTTGCTGGACTCGTGCTCCTCCCTGGCTATCCTCTCAGCTTCAGATACAAGCATTGATCCAAAGCCCTTGTGCTGGTACCTTTCCGAGCTTTTATGCTCAACCGGCACTGCACTTCCATAGACATGTAGTTCCCTGATTATAGAGCAATTGCCATTCTGAACATTATAATGAGCTTCGTTACATTCATCCCCACGTGTTGTCTCTTCATTTGTGCCAACCAGCTCAGGCCGGAATGTCTTTCTTCCGCATTTTCTCAGTCGGAGTAGTCCTATCAAAATATCCTGCTTGACATCCTCGTAACTTAGGAATGTCTCCCATCCGTCGGATGCAGCATAATCTCTTCGCACCAGCGTTATCTCCTCCGGAATAACATCCTCGTGAATATTCTTTATGCCCACCTCTCGTGTTCTCACATCCCTACATCTTGTTTTGTAGTCTTTCATCCTAGCCAATGCCAGCTCCCTGATGTTTCCATGCTCGACGCCTGAGCTTACCAATGTCATGGGAATATCTCGCTGTACCCTGTACACCCTTGTCCAGGGTGGGACATAGCTGAGTATCCTGGCTATAAACTCTACTAACTCATCTGGGGAATAGCTTCTATATAGGCCATTCTTCCATAGCTCGTACAGCCCCGTATCTTTTATTACAAGAGTGGGATAGATCTTAAGCCCATCACTCCTGAACTTTGGATTGTCAAAATACTCCATGAATTGGGCGTAGTCTCTCTTTTTGTCTACATTTGGTAGATTAGGCATCATGTGCGCCACTATCTTGTATCCACAATCCTTGGCTAGCGAGAAACATTCACAAACACTAGCCACAGTATGTCCTCTATTTGTGTCCTTAGCTACATCCTCGTACACACTTTGCACTCCTATTTCAATCCTGGTGCATCCGTAGGACAGCATCTTGTTTAGATGTGGCTTTAAACAGTAGTCTGGCCTTGTCTCAATAGTGATTCCAACACATTTCTGCTTGCTCTCCGCAGATGCTCTCACTGCCTCTTCAACTGTTGATGAACTGTGCCCACTAAGTGCATCGTGCAACTTCATAATGAATTCATTCTTGTAGCTGTCATGCAGAGACATGAATGTTCCTCCCATAATGATATATTCAACTTTGTCCGTGCTATGTCCCAGATTCTTTAGCTGTTTTAGCCTATCTCTTGCTTGCTCAAATGGATCGTACCTCGCTCGTATCGCCCTCATGCTTGTGGGCTCATATCCGGTGTAGGACTGCGTTGAGTACTCAAAAGAAGAGTCGGGGCCACCGGGGCAGTATACGCAGATGTTTCCAGTAAGTGCAATGTGTGGACATCTATGAGGAATACACATCACTGCCACTACAGCTACTCCAGACGCTGTTCTCACAGGCTTAACTCTTAACGAAGCTACTAGATCTTTATATTCAGAAGGAATGCAGGAAATAACATCCACCATTCTGGGCATCATGGAAAGCTTGTAGTTTCGGGACACATCTCTCATTATTCTAGTTACATCTACCTTTGTATTTTGCTTGTACTTTTCTACAATCTGTTGTGCTATTTCTGAGCAGGCCAAAAGAAAGTTTGTCATTTTTCTTTCTGATGGGTGGTTCCAGATTCATTTATAACCAAAGACAAGGAGAGTTGAACAGTATTGTATAGCCAGTGCTTTTATTCTTCATATTGAGGATGAAAGGATTGATTTGTTGCTACGGCATGTTGTTTCTTTATTTGGACTCGATCTTAAAGTTTCTGGGCACAATCCCATACACCACAAGTGCTGCTGAGTTCAGAAACTTGAGCTTGCATACATTTCTATTCACAAAAATTGACTCCAAAACATCCTTTCCTTCAAAGAAATCCTCCAGAAATGCCAGCGTGAGCTTATCCAAATCCTTATCAGTCACATCCCACAAATTTCCCAGTAAAATTCTTTTCTTTTTAAGGTGTCTTAAACAGAATCCATTTGATTTAAAGTTTTGAATATGAATTAGTTTGCAGGAGCTACAGCCAAACAGAAACAATAATTTAGGCGTGATGCTGGGGACGTCAAAATGCTTCTTTCCAGTCCCATGCCCAAAGTACATGAAGAGCTCGTTTTTATAAAGCAGACGCATCTCTTCGGGATCCAGGGATCTTCCAATAACACCTTTTAGAAAATCTTTATCAAAATTTTTTGAGTCTAAATATTCAAAAATTGTTGATCGAGTATTTTGGAGGTTGTTTGCAGGATCAAGCAAATAGAATATTGATTTAATATCAGAAACACTAGTGTGAAAAGAAAAGTCTTGCGTGAGGATTCGCATGGCTGGCTTGTCAAAAACTGCTTCAAAGGGAAAGAAAGCAACAGAATCCTCTAAGATCAACAGCAGTCGGCTGCTATTATCTCCATCTGTTTCTTCATTTGCAGCATCTTTCTTATTTTTAATACCATCTTCTGTCTCAATTCCAGACACCCCTTCTTTGCAATCGTTAATATTGTTATTTATTCTACTCCTGAGCTTTCTTATTAGCTCTCCCAAGCTCTGGTCTAGCCTAATTCTTGTTGACCACCAGTACTTCTTGTCCTCTGCTGTGACTGCATTCATTGAAAGCACTTTCTGGTTCTCAGCCATAACATTTTCAAACTCGTCCACCACATCTTTCCAATAAATACTCAAATAGCAGCCATCACTGCATTCTCTTGGATGATCTAGTGATACTGCCTTTAACACATTGTATATGTACAGTTTGTCGTTATGATGAAATATAAATATAATAGCAAACCCAGGAACTAGTTTCCTAAAAGTCTTAAAAAATTGAGCAAGGTACTCCTTGGTGCAGTACACCTTGCTATACAGTGATATTCTCTGGAAACTTGTAGACAGTATTTGTCTAACCAAAAGCTTATTTTCAAAATTTCTAGAAATTACATCAACACCAATATTACCAATGGTGGGCTCTACTTTGTCTAAAGGAAATTCCACCGTGACAAAAGGCGTCAATGATGGAACCCCTGCATGCCTTTCAAGTAACAGTTTGCAGTTAAACCCAAACTCCCAGTCATAGCCACATGCTATTTCTAAAAATAAGTCCAGGTAGAAGATGGATTCGTGGAATTCAAGAAATAGAAAGTGGATATAGGCCAGATGGTTATAAATGATTAGTTTCCCCTGCACTGAAGAGGATTCAACCAAGGACAGCAACTCTGCCCGTGCGTCTCTCAGCCTACCCTCATTTACCATTGATATAGCTAGTCTTAGATTTCCAGCAATCTTCTTCGAAACATCTTCTAGTCTTGAGTACCCACCAAAATCATTCCAGACAACTACAAAGTTCCCGTTCAAAATTTTTCCCGACAAAATTCTGGCAAATATAGAACTTAGCACTCCAGTAGATTCTATAGGTGGCGTGCCAGACTGTATTGAATAAAATGTACTTCTTGTGCTATCATTCATACTACCAACGTCGAGGTTGTTTTCATTTTCGGATGCTTTTGTCACCACCAATGCTATTCTCTACATTTAACGTTCTAGTATTCTTCAATAGTATGTCCTTGCCAAGTAGCTTCTCAACTTTATACTTTATATCACCTGATAGCTTATGATACACTTCAAATATTCTCTCATCCACTACCGACAGATACTTGAACTTGATGTAGCAAATCCCCGCCACTATTTCGGGATCTTCTACATGTCTCAAAAGCCGCATTAAGTCAGAACTGTACCTTTTATTAAGAATTTTGAGGATGAATTTGTCTAAAGAAGGAAAATATGCATCCTTCAAATAAATCTGCACCTGCTTAATTATTTCAACAGCCAGACGCACAGTCTCTGGGGTGGGGTCACTGGCAATGCTAGATACAATTGCAGCAGCAAACCCAAGTTTTGTTTTGCAGGTCTTCTCGCTTGGAGGTCTTTTAGATTTGTAAGACAGCTTTTTCAGTATTTCGAATTTCAGAGTCTCCGAGAATTCCATTTTCTTCTTTTATTTTTGAGGGATGAAATGAAAGACTCTTTGTCGCCGAAACCCAAAAGAATATGGCTAGCCTTTACAGTTGAATATGCAAGCGCTTCCTGAACAGGGTCACTGCACGATGTGCATGTTGCACTTGCTATGTATCTTAATAGATATCGAATGTGAAGACACCTATCTCGCAGATGGCATTTACTAAATATAAATAGAGCTGTGTCAAACATCTCGAATAGTCAATAATTAGGGCCATTCACAGTGTTTCCACAATCCTCAAAGTCAACTGTTTCCTAGAAAGGGTAATAATGAAGTAAACAGCCACTCAATACATTTAGACAAATACTAATTCACAAACCTCTAATTTATTCTGGGATCATCCTCAATCACTGCCTTTATGCCAATAGTTTGCCTAACTTAAATACTACTCAGCATATCTCCTGTAAACTGCTCTTGCCTGACTCTTCAATGGCTCTTCCATTTTACTTGCTAAGCTTGACAGGTATTTCAAATCTTCAATAAATTCCCCGCGATTTTTATATAAGTTATTTGATAATTTAAGATTGATAAGAGAATAATTCAAAATAGGCCTCTGCATAAACTTATGCGCTCTGGACAGCCCAAACAGCGCCTTTAAGGAGGGAGAGTACGGAATGCTTGATATATTCAGAGATGGGTACGATAGTGCAATCATAGACTTTAGCACCTCCCTCTTATTTATAGTAACCGTCATTTCACTAACATTAGATATTGCTCCCTTTAAGTACTCTGAACTTCTGCAATACAGCACACACTCCCTCTTTTTAATATTATACTGATCAATAGTACAGATAATCCCCCTGGAATGAGGATATTCATAGATCTTCACTGAGTATGCTGAGTCAAGCTCCAATACTAGATAGGGAATTCGGCCAATGAATTTGTACTGGCGGGAAGTGACGATGTAAACGCCCGACTCTCTGGGATATGATTTAGAATAGGGCATCCTGGGTTCCAACCCCATAAATTCTTCATATGCACGAAGGTTGAAGTAAATTTGTGTCTGGACGTAAATAGAACACACCGACAGCCAGTCGTGTGAAAAGCTAGTCAGTAGCGTTTCAAAGTCGGGATCAATGCCCTCTTCGCTTGTTGAGTCAGACAGCAAAAAAATAGATCTGTCATATGTGGATCGGACATAGATATCGTTAGATTCAGATTTTCTAAGCCTCTTCATTTTTTTTCTGGATCCATCAACACTGTCACCAAAATTTCTATTATTGTTAGATTCTTCGCCGATACTTGACTCCATTGATGCATTGGATTTACCATTAGCATTTTCCGAACTGTCAACGAGCTCCCCTGCCTCAATATCTGCACACTGTCTTTTTCCAATATCTTTCCTCAGAACTCGTCTAGGCTCGTTCATGGACTCATTCAAATGACTGTCGTTATGATCATTCACAGGGAGTAGCCCAAGACTTCTTCTCAGCATCCTTTGATTCCCGACAGTATTGCTGGCACCACCAACTCTATTACTGTTAATGTTGACTATGACAGTGTCTAAGATGCTGCTATTAAGATTGCCAGTAACATCATTTCCAACATCGCTTTTATCACTGTCTTCAATAATAAATCTCCTTGTCCTACGAACATTCCGGTTTGCATTACTATTACTCTCAGACTCTATCAGTCTTCTATTGGGCGAGGCGTCTGTCTTTCTAAATCCCCTTAGCTTTTTTATCCTCTGTCTTCTCATAGAGCTTGAGGTGCTTGAGGACACTGGGCTTCTTCTGAGTCGTTTTGGCCCCACATTCAAAGTTGAGGATTCCTCACTAGCAACAATAATGCTCTCTGAGATCTGCTCGTCCGAATACTTACAACTAATATTTTCTTCGGTGGTATTAGATTCAGACATAATATACGTCTCATCATCACTCTCCTCGGATTCATCATTTCCATTTATCTCTTCTATCGGATCCTCTTCTATTGGATTTTCATAAAGCTTAGTGAGATATCTTCTCTTAAATTTATTTTCATTTAGTTTCAGTTTATCTAAGGACAAAATAGCTAAGTCTTCGATTTGAATGCATCTGTTTTTAAGCATACTTGAGGAGAGAATGTAGGGAATTCTAAGCCAGTTGGTGTTTCTCTGTCTATAGAAGTTGACAGTCTCATCATTAGTACCCGAATCACTGGTGATATTGGAAGCTATTAACTCAGTGTTTTGATTGTTATTTTGATTTGCATCAATTGTTTGTGCGCGTCTATCAAGATCTGACATGAAAAATTGCTGCTCTGGAACAATAATTGGCTCATCAATCGAGTATGCTCTGATAATTCCTTGATCATCACAGGTTACAAGAAACCTACCATCATCACTAAACTGACAGTCATTCAGACTAATAAATATATCCTCAGAATATATTAAATTAACACTAATGCCCTCAAGTTTGGCATTGGTAACAATATAGCTTGGTCTGTCATTGCTCGTGCATCTATAGTGGATTCCCTTGGACTGCTCTATGTTGTCACATTCAGAGCTAGTCTCTGGATGCTCCTTGCCTATGCTTATTTGATAAATACTCAATCTAGTGCCCACAACAACGAAAATATTCTCGGTAGGATGGGAATATATTGTGCCAACCTCTCCCTTAAAAGAAAGAACCAGCTGGTCGTCCTCGTAGATCCTGATGATATTATCAGAGCATGCTGCCACCAACAGGAAGGATGGCAGAAAGCTAAGCCACTCAACAACATAGTCGCCATCAATCAAGTTTACATGTTTCTTCCAATATCCACTCTCGTGGCTTGCTCTTTTCTTTATGAAATTGCCTGCATTCGCTGGCCCCTCACAGTAGAAGGTATAGGAAAATATCTGATTCTCGTTAGATGCGGCAAACTTCAAAGCATTCTTGGCAGCACATAGTGTTTGGATTTTAAAGTCTTCCAAAACAATAACATTGTTCAAATCCTGGGTGTCATAGACCAGAAAAAAGGGCCACCATCCTCCGCATATAACTAGTCTTCCTCCGTCGGTTATGCATATAGATTTTATGCTTTCTCCTTCCATAAAAGTATTCTTTTTTTCCTCAATTATTTTCTTTGAATTGAATTCTAATGACTTTACAGTGCCATCGGCCAGAACAATGAATATCTTATGAGCGCCAACATTGATTGGAGTATTGAGATCTGCCATGTTATTTGCATTACTTAGCGTGCTGTGGTTGATAAATTCACAGAAGATGGCCTCGGAATTCAGATTGACAGAATGCAACTGCTTAAAGTCCTTTAAACTCCAGACATTCAACAGTCCCCGATAATCTACTGACACAAGCAAATCTCCCTCCTTATTTATACACAGGTCGCTAATCATATTTTCATGACCATACAGAGACTTTACCAGCATTCCATCGGGAATTGACCAGCACTTAATTATTCCATCAGCTCCTCCGCTAAATGCAAATCTACAGCTATTATCAAAGCATATTCTTTCAATCACTCCGTTGTGCCCCATTGTCTCAAAATACTTTTTGATCTTAGAAAAATACTTGACTGTGTATGGTTCCCTGTTTATTTCTATTTTCTTTAGCTTCTCTATTAGCACATCCCTTTTTACTAAGCTGTTGAGCAAGTCGGAAGCCTCTTCCTTTGTTATTCCAAGATTCCTATTCTCTCCCAATGCACTTCCGCATAGATTTCTAAAAATTTCCAGAACGTCGTCCTTTCTATGTTTTGTTTCTCCATGGGCCATCGGGTCCAAAATTTTGAACTGCCATATGTGTTCGTAATAGCAGCTCAGCTGAAGAACATCCTTAATGAGAGCTTAGCAGCCTGGAAACAGTCTATTTGTTGCTGGATTCTAAAGACTCTGTGGTGCTTGATCGAATGCAGAAATATTGCATTGCCTTACCATCAATGCTTTCATGGATTATTTTAAGCATAAATAGAGGTGCTGTTAAACTTGATGTTTACGTTAGAACCAAAACTAACCATAAAGTACTTGGCAATTGCATGGCCATTTATTTCCTGCATTCAGTGTTTGCTATTGAAGGCATCAGGCAGAGAATATGCCTGGAAGTTTTAAAGAATATGCAATTTTCATCCTTAAATCAAAATTGGGATAGGACTGTATGCAATCAAAAGAACAGTCATTGCACCATCCACACACTATTCCAACAAACAGATTTATTTACTAGTCTTAGTGATATTTGTATTCAGGCTTCAATTCATACGTGTTCTTGTGGTCTTTCTTATTAAGAACACATATCTCATTGACTATTTCTTGGATATATGCAACTGGCTGTCCACTGAAATCTGCCAAGTCCCTGACTGTCCATCTTTTGTGCTTCTCAAATGCATTGAAAACAATCTCCATAACATCTGTCTTTTCCAGCCTTTCTCTCTTTTTGTCTTGGAGCATCTGCTTCCTTTTCCTAGCAAGAATATCCATTTCCTTCAATGTACTGTATTTAGCACTTCTTTTAACCTCTGCAAAGTAATCAATAACCTTCACCTTTTCCTCAGTGCTCTCCTCAGCATTCTTCATTCTTCGTTTATATTGAAGATACTCTGAATTTAGCACTGGTCTTATGAAACACTCTTTGTTTATAATACCCTCCACGTCCATTGTCTCCTCATTTAATTCTGCGTTGTCTCTGCAGTGACTAGCAAGATACATGCATTTTCCCTTATCTTTTATTTCTATTATGTGCTCTGTGGGTATTCCTGTGTCTAGTAATGCATTTGAAAGCTTGATTTGGAGAGCAGGTGTCTCAGCAGGGGATGAGCGTCCTACACTCAATGTTCCAACCACTGACCCCTTTCTCAGTTTCAAAATTTGTTCTCCAAGATACTTTGGGACTTTTGTAAGCCAGACTGACAGCTTCTTCTTTTCACTGTTCAGACGCATAGAGCCAGTGGGGCCAAGAAGAGAACTGAAGGAAAAACATTTAGCTGAGGGCTTGAATATTTAAACAAAATTGTATGAAATGTTTTCCAGACTTAGTTCTTTATTGAAACCCGTGGCTGAGCTTTTAGGGCTAGTCTTTACAACTTCAACACACTCTTCAGTTTTGTCATAATATTATGATTTTTCAAAGAAATCCTGAAGTTTTTAGTGCCAAATTTTGAATAATAGCATGCTGAAAAAAGTGTGTGGCTTCTTGGCATCAGCCCAAATAATATGAAATAAAGCAACATATACTGCAGTTAAGAGGCACAGGATTGGCACAAATATCACACTGGGCAGTATTGGAATTTTCAAGGCTTGAGGAATTAATGTGCAGATATTGAATGCATTAGAACGTGCCACATATTTCTGAGAATGATCTGCACAGACGATAGCTATTTTCTGGTATCTTTAAAGGTTAAATCCAGCTGAAAAGTCGCATGCTAATGTTTTAGTATTGTCCCAAAATAGTAGAAATTGGCTTGCATATATCGGACTCGTCAAGTTTTTATTTTTGTACACATTCATAATCAGAACACGGCGTTTAAATAGCAATTTGGAGAATAATATCCGGTTTCTGAACGTTTTGAGATCGTCAAGCCTCCTCAAATATGCAAGTCTTATTTTCTAATATTTATTGTGAGATAGCCAGCGTTGCTTTTTACTTTTTAATGGTTTATCTTCTTGAATAATGAGACGAAAGGATTACAAGGCCGTCTTTATATCAGGCATATATTATACATTTTCTCGTAAGCTAGCTAGTGCCATACTAAACAGCGTTGTGTATATTGGTCTAGATAATATTTATATTAAC